TGATTTTTTTACTTTATAAACTTGAAAGATGTAAAATATTGTAAAATTTCATATAGGTATAGCTTTATGTGGATTGTGGTTTATTAAAGTTTAGTGAAAATAGCAAAAACTCCAAAAAACATATGGTTGGCTCAGCCTAAAGACCTCCTATTGCTGTATCACATGCTCAAATTTCAAAAATCGCGATTTCATGATTCGTTCAAAAATGCAATACTAAATAAAAAGTCAAAGGTCAAACTAGTTTCAACTTATGGCAAAACCTTTTGACTTTTGCGCAATTGTGAAACTCTCTAGTGCCTAATAATGATGAAGCTGCCAAGTCATTTATTATCAACCATCTAACAGATGAGCTTTTCACCAAAATGAAGATCACAAACCCTGCAGGCCTATAAAATCTTTACAGAAAATGTGGAGAAACAGTACATTTTAATGTTCAATCCAAATTGCCCAATGAAACTGTTGGACATTGTCCAATGACAACTCTGTGGATTATGATGCTCACTTTAGCTCTTAATCGAGATTCAGATCATAAATAGATAGTACAAAGATGATGTGTGGAATTTACATGTCATGTTGCTCAAAGAATGTGAAAACTTTAGATGCCATGTCTAAAGTTGGTGTCTGTAAAATTTTTTACATTTTCTGCAACTGTGGATTTTAAGGCTTGAGTTGCAATTTCTGCAACTGGAAAGGGAGTTCGTTTAACAGTGCTGTATTTTATAAATCCTACAAGTTCTTGCATAGGAAATACTTTCATCAAAAAATTCTAAATAATTAAAAAATTAATTCCCGCATTCTTTGACTAAATTTACAATTTATTCCTTATTTTTGCTGGACTCTTTGAATTATTCCATTATTCATTTTTTCTTTATTTTTATATAAAATTTACTTTCTAAATGATCACCAGTTAAACTGTAACAGTTCTTTTGTTAATTGCAAATATGTAATGTGGCACAGTAATACGAAATTTATTTCGCGTTAAATTAAAACGAAACAACTTTATTTATTTATCAATATATTATCGTCATATTACTTATTATTTATATTATTTTCTTATGTATATGAGTTACAAATTAAGTGCTGCGGCTTTCCGGGAAGTTCTAATTGTAATATAATAT